GTCACTGTGTTGGCCCTGACGTTTAGATCGCGATGATTGCACTTGCTTTTGAGAACTCCTGTTCGACGATGCGCCGAGAGAACTAATGTAACCAACATAGCCGTTTCGATCGCGGATGGAAACGAGCATTCTTATCCTAGACATTGATTTAGAAGTAGGAAGGTTGAATTTTCGGAGTCTTAGCTAGAGACTCTCTTTATACGACTTTTAAATCTCGTGGTCAAGGGCATAGATAATTGTAGAAGTCTGCCATTATTTGGGTTTAACGAGTATCCGATTATAATTAACCTGTCCTCTGAGTAAAACTCGCGCCACTGGGCACTCAAAGGCACCAGATTCGGGGGCAGGTCCGAGACCAATGCGGTGGCTGGCACCGTTTTTTAACCGCGCATGATGATTTCTAACAGTAATTCTACGTTTGTAAGACATAGGGCTCCATTCCCGGCTCTCTTCTCGTCTTCTTAAAGCGTGACCATTTAGCTTATCTAGACACGTTTATAATTACTTTGGCGGGTTTCTGGATAAACATTTTTAGGCTTTGCCTTGAACTAACTCGTGCGTGTATTAGATTGGCCTTTCGTTGTTTAGCAGCTGTGATTTCACGGACCCGCATTTTTCTTTACCGAGGTGCGTTTTTAGTCCGTTGTTCTAATGCATTAATTTCGTTATATTGTACAAAAGATAGCATAATTAACGAATTATGCGTTATTTCACATCCTCTATGCCTGCCCCCATTTTCGTTGCTGACGCCCTGATGACCCCAGACATCAATGACAGTTAATTAGCGTATGCCCCAATAATTTCCCCCTCCCTCCTTTTTAACTACTGTTTCTTCACCCCGACGACCTCGGACAGTTGATTTGCGTACACGCACTATAATTGTCCCACGTTTTGTTGCTGTTTATTATCTCTGAAGATGGACTCCTGTAAAAGTTCCAAAGCTCGGGCTAATAAATTGAGAAGAAGACGACTCGATCGTTCTGACGATACTTTTATTCGCCTGACGTTTCGACATGCGTTGCGGATTGATCATCTGAGACATTAGCAGAAACGGGTAATAGATGCACAGGGGTTTGCAGTATTTATAGGACACAGTCATTACTGCAAATGTGCAGCGACAATTAGCGTTAATTGCCTTCTTGTGCGTTGATAGTTTGTTGGTCGGCATGCGGGCTCTGACCTGTTGAACTTTCATCACGCATGGTGGACTGCGGCGTGATGATTGTCCGGCCATCTGGCCCTCTGCTTTTTGCGTAGGATGACGTGATGGCCTGTCCGTTCCCCAAGTGGTGACTTGCTTTGGACAAATTGAGTCTCAGCACCGAATATGGATTGAGCAAATCGTTGCACTTGTTTATGGATCGGGGGCCCGTGAACCATGACTCAAGCAATTCTCAGTTCACTCAGTTCTCACCTCTTGCGAGATTTTCGGCCTCATCAAATTTAAATGTGTGGTCAGGTCTCGTCGAATGAGCCGCAACTTGAGAATTGGCATAATTTCACCGAACTGCTGCCGCATGTTCGGCAATTTGCGTCTTGAGAAGTATGCCAGTTTCTTCAACATAGTTGCTTTGGGCGCAACTGTACCAGATCCTGTAGATGACTCCAGA